GAGTACTAAATAATGGGACTCAAAGGATTATAGACTCAAAGCAAGGAAAGGATATAAAGGACCCAAGATAAAAAAGTGAAGAAAGTTGAAAAATTAAGGGTCAATATTTGCGTAACAAAAAGTATATTTAACCTTTCTTACTGCTTTTTATCTTTTGGTCTTTCTCTCCTTTCCCCGAATTTGAGTCTATATTCCTTTGAGTCACAACTTCAGCATTATTTAATATACCTTCCTCATTCACACATTTTCAAGTATTTCAAAATGTTTCCTTTCCACTCAAAATTAAAATATGTATAAAGGTTTACTGCTTTGTGAAACGTCTTTTTTGAATTTGTGCCGTTGAAATAAATAAATAAATTAATTAAATAAAATAAAAAAATCTGTCGGTTTTGTTTACACGTTTATTGGGCCGCATTGGAACTTGCTTTGGGCCGCTGGTTGGACACCCCTGATGTAGATGTATGTTGAAATTTTTTAAATTTGGAAACGAGAATTGATAAGTTATGATTTTATCCTATTATTAACGTTATTTTATCAGCACTAAATAACTACAGAAGAACTACAATTAAAACTTAGATATAAAAAAAATTGGTGAAAATTCTATTAGTGAGGAAATTCCAACGAAGACCTGTATAATGCACTGCTTAAACAATACAGTGTAATGCTTAATGCAAATATATAACAGATTTTCAAAAGAACCGGATAATCAAGAGTTATAATTTTTTGAAGAAGCTTCTTTGCATCTAATCTAAGCACATCAGTTTCGTTATTTGAATTGTTTATCATAAAATCTAAAACTTCGAATATAACGTAAAAATGTTTTTAGAAATGATCATGGTTACTATGTGGCATGTGGACTGAAATAGGCTTGTCTTGCTCATAGACTGCAAGTTCGGTTTTGGGTTCGCTTTTCGCCGAGACCAGCTGGCCACATGGAGTTTTCCGGGTTTTCTCCACGTCTTTAACGCCTGAATAGGGGCCAGTTATCCTTAAAAAGTCCTCCCGGAAGGCATTATTTTTCGAATATAAACAAATATATATCATCACTTACCACATCACATTGTAAATGCATGTGACAAAGTACCACGTGGCACCATAGCATAGAAGCTCTTGCCAAAGATAAAAGACAAGAGATGATGTATAACATATCTGTTCTTTGGACTTACCTACTTACTTAATGTTTAATTGTAGGCGTTTCTTATTCAAATAAATGTTTAATTGCTACTAATTAGAGATGGCCATTATTTGGAGATTTGACTGTATACGCTTTTATTATCGATACTAAAAATATATATTTTAAAATTTTTGTCTGTACTGCACACATTAAGCCAATAAAATAATTATATTACTGCTATGTTTATGAAGTTTTAATATTCCGACCTGAAAAATAAAAAATTCTGCAACGAGTTTTCTAACTTTCTCGGTATAATTTTATATTGCGTGTGTAGTTCTATATGTTACGATATTTTATTTTAAAACTGTTTATATTTTTAATTATTATAAAATGGCATCTTCCTGAATTTTGAATGTATAAATAGGGATCATGGAAAAGTGAAAATGATAGTTAAGAGGAAAATCGTCATTTAGTCTGATCACAGTCAAGATTTGTCATACGAATCACTTTGTCTCCCCACCTCATCAACTTTTAACCAAAAAAACATAGTATTGTCAATACTCTAACAACCAAATTTCAGAGTGAAAAAAACCGTGTCCCTGAACACACCCACACCCTGACATTTATGCATATAAAACACAAACTTCAAAAATTTTTGAATTTCTGGACGTTTCAGTGTTTTTTTATCTCAAAAATATAAAATCTTTGGTAGTTCATTTTTGCCAGATCGTCATATTTTCCTGGACTTTAAAGAATTAAAAGCTAGCAGCTTTTTTCTTTAGTAACATGTCACATAAGGAACAATTGATTTACGTATAGTTTATTAAACGAAATGCATTTCGGGTCTTAATGACTCGTTTTCAATCCTAACACTTTACAAAAAAAAAGATAGATATGACTTATATTATACAGAATAATATAATATTTTCACAAAATTTTTTAAAAAATAACTTACATGGTTGATTGTTAGTTACAATGAACATCAAAGTGTGTGTTGGGTAATTGACTTGGCAACAGGGGCGTACCGTGACATTATATGATAGGAAAGCTGTGTTTCTGTAAGAAGCCGACATCCAGGGGCAATCAGTCAATTGCGCGTCAGTGATAATCTAGGGTTCATTCGTATCGTTTATTCGATAAGCCAGTAAAAACCGTAGACTTCTCTAAATGCATTTTTAATATCGCAATTACATTCCGAATCGCTAGCCACGATATAAGAGCTACAATTAAATATAAAATAATAAAAACTTACTCAGTGAAATAAAATATGTGGTGGATGTACTGGTACATACAAAATATTCTTCAATTATATGAATATACTTTAAAAAAAAAATTATATTGTATTGTCTTAAACACAGAATTATAAATGGCGAATTTTGTCCTTTTTTAAATTATTAANCAAAAAAATATGCATATTACTTATGAATTTATACCAGATCTAAAAAAATTTTACTCTTTGGAATGGTTTTACCCGGACCATACTACAACCCAACTTATGACAAATCATGGCAAATTTGCTAGCTATCTAGCAAGATTTACAAACCGAAATGACAATCAATGCTCTACATGTCTTGCAATTGATGGTTCAAAGCATTATATCTATGATTGTATAAGATTTGAAAGGGAAAGGATAGAGTTCAGCTTGAAAAACTGTGCAGTTGTTATCTAAGCGGATGGTTCTACTCTAGGAGATCTAGAATATCTACATTGAATAATCACTGCATTAGGAACACCATGCCAGCACCACATCAGAAGTGGTAAAGAGATATCCTGTAATTGCCATGTCAAAATTCATTGCAGTTGTGACATGTTGATTTGTCATTTACATAGTAGAAGGCAATAGTTGCCACTCTTGGGCAAATGGTATGACTTGAGTGCAGACAGATCATTGGGGCTGCAGGATGGGTATCAGTATTTCTGAAACAGCTGCACTCATTCGTTGTTCTCATACCATGGTGTCCAGGGAATATCATAAATTAACGGATCATACACAAACATCTATTAGAAGATCATGCAATGACCAGCCACATGTAGTTGATTCCAGAAGTGATTTCTCATGTCAAGACTGATATCTGAACAAAAATGTATCAGAATGGGTAAGCTGTTCAGCTTACCCACCAGTACAACAGTGGACAAGGCAGATGTGTTTCAACAATGACCATGTGACATACCTTGCATTGGCTGGGGTTCCATAGCCAGCATGGGTACCTCTGTTGACCACAATCATTGCAAACAACACCTTGCATGGGTGAAGGAAAACTGTCATTAGACCTTGGAAGGTCATCTGGGGTGATGAGTCCTGTTTTATGCTGAACCACACTGATAACTGGGTCCAAATCTGGCATAAACAGCATGAAATCTTATCCCCTGGATGCACAGTTGGGATTCAACAAGCTGGTGGTGGTGGTATTATGGTCCAGGAAACATTCTGTTGGAAAGGTCTAGAGCAATGGTAACAACTGTGTCTAGATAACAACTGTGTCTAGATAACAACTGTCATCCCACAATTCTTAAATGATGAATGATACAGGGACCTTTTAGATGATCATCTACACTCATATCTCCAAGCTATGTTTCCTGACAAAGATACCACATTTGAACATGATAACATACATGTCACAAGGCAAGACTCATTTGGGAATGGTTGAAGGAACACGACAGTGAATTCCACACAATGTCTTGGCCCCCAAATTCACCAAATTGCAACCCTATTGAACATGATTTGTACTTGAAGTGAGGTTATCATCCACTCCTCTGTGAAATGTGCACCAACTAACAAAAACTGCTCAAGTAGGAGTGGATCCAGTTAAGAATAGAGGATGTTTAGCATCTTGTAGAATCCATCTCCAGTGTTTGCAAACCACAATCGCTGAAAAAAGTGGGCCAACCCATTATTAGGCAGGTATTCCTAATATAGTAATTGTTCAGTGCAGAAGGGTTGAAAAACTCCACAACATTTTTAGGGGTGGTCCATTTGGATATGTTGGGGTCCCATCCCTGATAACCCTGCCACCTCAATGTAGGCCTGGCCAAACCCATAATGGGTTTACTAAAAGAAAGCCTTCTTAGTATCCAAAGGAAAGAAGTCAACAAAAAAACAAGTTATAGCTTCAGGAATCACTTGATTAATGTCTCTTCAACTTGTTAAGAAAAACTTATAAAAATATATAATTTTGACATATTAATAAAACTTATTATTTTCTAAAATTTGTATTTCACTTTTTTACAATACATGTGCATGCAACAGTATTCAAAAAACAGAAAATTTTAACACAAATGAAACAGTGAGCATGCTATTACCACAGAAGTCTCCAGAATATTGCTTAGTAACACTTGAAAAATAGTAATACAAGTGTTATCCTTTTGCATTAAGAAAATATTTTTAGTTAAGAAAATTCTTTTCTGAACAAACAATAAAATTGCATTGTGTGATAACTAAGTTTATTTAACATTTATTGCAGAAAATAATTAAATTAGTTACAATAGCATTCTTACTTTGTCCACTGGTTCAAAAGAAAATTTTATATTTTCAAATGTTGCAAGCACAAACATTTCAGAAAAGTGAATGCTAAAATTATATTATTATAGTAAAAATAATAATTAAAGAAATTTTTTACATACTACATATGAAACAATATCCAGCAAAAAACTATAAAAAACTACAAAAGCAAACATTTTCACCCATATTTAATGGTCATCATCAGGCTAAATGGATGTTTGTTTTTATAGTTTATTTATAGAATCTTGATGGACATTGGTTTGTGTAGTGATTATTTACGTATACCCAATTTGAGTTGTTGAACTTATTTTACACAGTTAATATCTAAATAATGGTTTTTCATTAACTCTGTAACTTCATCATTTACATAAAAGAATCTATGTTTACCTTCTTGGGCTTCAGCAGTACATTGATTAATGTATGCCTGAACTACTTTATTATCCAAATCTGAACCTGGATCTGGCTTTTGTAATAGCTGCCCAATATATTTTTCCTGTAAATAAAATAAATTTTAACTTGTTTTAATTATATAGTATGAAATAAGATTTAAAACTATCTTTACAGATAAACAAAATTATTTGATATCAAACAAACAAAGTATTTAATGGGTTATGTTTATGTGAAAACTATTTGATATTTAATAAAGAGAAACATATATGCAAATATTTTTAATTTCTTGCCATATTTCAACAAATAAGAAGATTCAAAAACATTCTTGTTTTATAAAATTACTTTGTATACAGCAAAACTGCAAGGTTAATTCAATAAATTTAGCATGACTGGCACAAACAGGTTTTTATCAGAGCAGCAATATTAATAATAATAATAATAGTATTTATTAGAATTAAAAAATATATGATATAATAATATTAAAATAATATATAGACTCAAAAGAATTTACGAATAAAACACACCTTTAATAATCCAGCAAATAAAAATTAATAAAATAAAAACGTTTTTGACCGTTTCTTAACAATCTTCATCAGTTAATATATCATAGAATAAAATCGAAAACAAAAAAGAACGTAAATACAAAATTAAAAATATAAATAATGGAAAAGTAACTGTGGCAGATAAAATAAACAAAATAATATAAATTAAGCCAAAAATGTCCCTTAAAAAATAAACAATATTACATTCACAACACACCGTAACTTCTAAAACTTACTTCCAACATAAACAAAAAACTGTGCTTAATTCAACTTTTACGTCTTTCACTAACGTTTTAGAACCTTTGGTTCTTCTTCAGGTAAAAAAAAAAAAAAAAAAGCTTTATCCCAAGGAGCAGAATGTCCAGAAATGCAAGAGGAAGAACCTAAGGACAGAGTTTTTATCACTTATTGCTAGGAAAAGACAAGTTTCCATCCATCATATTTAGAAGATGTCCTACAATATTTCGACTGCTTAGTAATGCGAAAGATACTCTGCAACAAGACATGCTGGCAAGACACCATCACGATTAGGGATCGCAGATGTGATGAAGACTTAATATATGTTAGCTCCACGAAGAGATCTTTAGGAGTGAGGATTAAAGAGCATAAAGCAGACATCCTCCACAAGAGGCCTACAACTGCCTTAGCACAGTATGCCATGGACCCTGAGATACAACCTTTAATTTAATCAAGCCAGGATAATATACACCACGCACCAGACACACCATTTGCATTTGATGGAAGCGATTTATATACACAAAGCAGCTCAGGGTAACAATTGCATCAACAGTAAAGATGAAATATATTTATCAGGAGCATGGCAAACCTTGGTATATGACATATGATGAGATGAAAGTTAGACTCACAACGGCGCATGCGCAAATGATGATGACAATTGCACGGGTTTCCGACGATATTCCATTTCAGAATTCTTTCAAAAAAGATCAGCTCAATCGAATGTAAATTGGTTTGCCCATTTTTTTTCACCTGAAGAAGAACCAAGGGTTCAAAAACGTTAGTGAAAGACATAAAAGTTGAATTAAGCACTGTTTTTGGTTTACGTTGAAAGTAAGTTTTAAAAAATAAAATAAAGTCTCTTAATATCATTAATTTTTGTAAAATGATATTAACAACTCACTACAACTCATAGAGGATCTCAAAGGCATTTCTCTAATAGACAATGAATATATGACAGTCTTGGACTTTAAGTCGATGTATCCATCAATAAGATTATCTTCTTGCTTCTGCACAATAAGAGATTTTTTATTTGCCAATGTTGAAAATGCACCACAACATCACAATCAAATTCTGAAACTTGCACACCTGGTATGTTATACATCATTTTTTTAATTTGAGAACAAGTTATATTTACAAGGAAGAGGCGTACCGATAGGTAGTCCCACATCGGCGATTCTTTGTGAGTTGGTCTTACAGCAGATTGAAAACAAAATTCTACCCAAGTTTCAACACCTTATCGTTTTGTGTGCCAGATACATCGATGATATATTCATCTTGTGGCAAAAAAACCTAACCTACAGCAATTTTTGGATATGATCAATAATAACCCTTACACTCCAAACCAACAACTACCTATAATTAACCATTAACTGGTGCGAAATTCTTTAAAATCGGCAAACGTTTTCGATTCCCCTCCTGGGATCTTCTTCAGGCTTACTTCTTTATAGCTTTCGTTATANCTACTGTATTAAAATTAGTGGAGTTATAGTCCGATTATTTAGGTGACCGTTTGGTGATGTTTCTATATACATATCAGACTTTGCAATGTTTGTTATACTTTTTTAAAAAAAATTTGTTTAGAAGTGACATAATGCAGTTATCTTTTCTTTAGAATTTAAATTTTAAATCTAATGAAGTAAGTTTAAAATATGCCATTTGCCAAAATATTTAAAAATGCAACTTATGAGAAATTCTGTTGTCAAGTGCAAACTAAATGAGGTCACTGATCCAAAATTGATAAAATGTTTATTCTATAGCTAATATTTCTACAAAATAAATATCCTATACTTTCTGTCCATAACACAAATACAACCAAAATTTCATCTGGATTGGATAAAAATTGCAAAAGTTATAAGGAATTCATGCACAAACATGCAGATGATGGCTTTTATATTAAGGTGGCAGCTTACTACTCTAGGAGATATTCCATATATTTTCCATATTTTTTTATTTACATGTATATTACATATGGCCTGGTCCCGCTAGGCACTACCAGGCAAATAATAGAACATTTTATATGATTATATACAATTATATATATATCATTATACTATCAACATTAAATAATTTATTGTATTAACAGTAGTTTGTTATTATTTCCATATAACATTACTATTTATCTAAGGATTATATTATATTGTCTTAATTTAATTTATATAATCATTACAGTATAGTCATTCTTTAACACCATATAATAACATTGTTTATAGTACAATTATACTATATTTACACAATACATATATTATAGTCGACATCATCACATATATTATAATGCAATTATATACATCCCGCATACTATAGCCGACACTATTTCAATTAACAATAGTTTATAATACATTCAATTAACAGTATTTATATCAATATATTATTATGCAGCAATGTTGCATTATATTTATTATAACAGTAATTTATTATATTTATCAAACAATATTATAGCATTATTGTAACAGCAATATTCTAATAATATTTTATTATGATATCTGTAGTTCAATATTTATTCATCATTTATATCTTATATATTATCTAAC